CTGCTGAACTGGAATTACAGACACGTGAAGCGGTGTGGACAAACAAACCCAGCTGCCCTTCGATTTCTCTGGCAGCCGCAGGCTCAGGCCCCCTCCAGACCCAGACGCTAGGCTGAAGGGCAGAAAAGAGCCAGAGGAGCTGGTGTCAGGCCTCTCGTGACCACACAAAAGAAAGGGGCTTTAAGTTTTTCTCTCTGAGTACAAAAAGAAACAGACAAAAGCAAAACATCAGCAAAGCCATAAGGATGTTTCAGGAAGGTCTGAGCGGTGAACCTCCTGCAATGGGTTAGTTTCCTTTCTCACTGCAGAGTTGTCTGGGATCCACTGAAAAAATTCTACCTGTAGGAAACCCAGGATGCAGACTTAGGCAGGAAAAACTGCCGCCTGCAGACACCCAGGTAAGCTGAAATTTCCTGCCAGAAGGGCAGGCCGGGGAGACTAAAGTTTTCCTCTAAGCCGAAATTACTGACGAACCGACTGTCCTGGGAGGAGAGGCAGAAAGGGAGGGAAAACCCCTCCGATGGTTTGGGGGAGGGCCCCCACTGCTCGCTTACCTTCCCGACTTAGTAATGACCATCTCGGTGCCTCGCTTGTGGAACTGATCCCAAAGTTCTTTGGCCTCGAGGTGCACCTTGGGGTCATCCTCCACCTCTTCTTCGGGCTCCATGGTCTTCAGAGGCCTCAGATGCGCCTGGGGCCCGAGGGACGAGAAAGGGATGCCCGTCTCTGCCGCCCCCACCAATTGATCCATGATCGGCTTGGCCAGAGCCCCCGGCAGCGGGAGCGCCGCGGCCCCGTTGGGAGGCAGAGTCAGCGCAGGGAAGAAGGGCGGCTGGTGACCCAGCACCGCGCTCATGGCGAAGTCCGGCGCCCGGTGAGGTAGGAACGGATGGTAGGCCATGCTTGTCCCAGGGATGACCGGATCTCTCATGGAGAAGCTCATCCACTCCAGGCGGGCGCGCTGGGCTCCAGCCCGGGACAAGTCCGCAGCTGCTGTTTTTGTTTTGTTTTTGTTTTTAACAGCAGCACATAGTTAAAAGGAAAAAAAAAGAAAAAGAAAGAAAGAAAGAAAAAGAAAAAAAGGCAAAAAAAAAAAATCACAACTCAGGCACCTCAAAGGGAGGGGGTAAGTGTGTCTTTTGGGGAGGAGAACGCTGCTTTTAAAGAGGGCAAGGCGAGCGATCAGGAGACATAGCCGCTGGGGTGACCGTCCTTGTGCCTTGCGTTTTTAAAAAGCCGCTGCTGCAAGTCGGTTTCCGAGGCGAGGGGAGCGAACAGGCTCTCGACTCGCGCTCGAGCCCTGGCGCTCGGCTCGAAACAGACACTCCGGCGCTGGGTCCCAGGAACCGCGCCCCAGCCCCCGCTTCTTTGTTGCAAATGCGAACGGTTCTCCTAGGAGAGTTTTTACCTTTTCTTCTCCTCCTTCCTCCGCCTCCCTATCTCTCCTCCTCTCCCTCTTTCTCGCTGGTGGCGCCTGTAGTTGCGCTGGACCTGGCTTTAACCGCTGGCGAGAGCGGAAAAAGTCTCCTTTAAAAAAAAAAAAAACAAAAAAAAAAACAACCTCTGCTTTAAGCTCTCTTCTACCAGCGCTATCAAAACTTGAACTGCACACTGGCTTCCGTTCGCCGCCGCCTCCTCCTCCTTCCTCCGCTCCGAGCCTCCGGAGGGTGTCTGGGTTTCGATCCGAATCCGGCCGTGTTCTTCTCCCGCGCCTGTCTTCCGTGTCCTAAAACGTGAGCGAATTCGCTTCCTAAATCTGCGTCCAGACGCGCAGGGCAGGGAGGATGGAGGGCGAGGAGGTGGGGGGAAGGAAAAGGAAAAAAAAAGAGAGACGGAGTGGGAGAGGGAGCGCGAGCAGAGGGAGGGAGCGAGCAAGCCAGCGAGAGCTCCTCGCCACCCTCCTCCGCCTCTAGAATTCCCCGGGCGTCTGCTCGGCGGCTCTAGAAGGTCGGGCTCTGCTGTGGGCTGCAGGGAGCCGGAGGCCTCTTGATTGGCTCTTTGACGCTTTCGGACCAATTGTGTTGCTGCATAGGCGTGGTTTTCACAGGTCGAGTGCTGGGGGATAGAGCCGAGTTATAAAAAGAAGGTGTCGGAAACTGTAACGTCGCAGCGCCGCACCGATACTACTGCCTGTCCTGTGAATATGTCAACATGATCAGGAGGGCGGGCGCCACTGGGGAGCGCGCGCACTGAGTCGCCTCTAGGTGGCTTATCGAGAGATCGCCGCAGCCCCTGAGCTCGCTCACTCGCTCTTGCTCAGCCCACGTCTGAAATGCCTCAGTCATCCAAGCCCGGGATCGCGGGAGGAGGCAGGGCCAGGGAGGAAGGGGAGGGAGGAGGGAGCGGGCGAGCGGGGCCAGGAAGGCGGAGCGCGCGCCTGGCGCCCGGCGCCGGACAGGGGCGCTCGCCTCTCGCGCGCTCGGCTCGCCTCTGCGCCGCCGCGGCCGTTTCTCTCTCCCGCTCGCCCTCTTACGAACCGGCCCCGGGCGAGCCAGGCGGACTGCTGAGCCTCCTGCGAGCTGCCGTTCGGCCGCTGGGCGCAACAAAAGCCAGCGGCAGCCACGGGGAGGCGAGCGCCCAGACTCCAGGCTTGCACGCTCTCCAGCCCCACGTGGAGCCAAGCTCCGCCCGGGTGCGGTTCCACCGCTCCCGAGCTCGGGTGTCTCTCGGTGCGGGTCTCCCCTGCATCTGGGCTCGCGGGCTCACGAGCACACACGGATGATGCGGCCAGATCTCAGCACACGCGTGCGGGGCTTCCTCTTCACCGTGCCCCACCCGACCCTGGGTGCGGAGACCCAAACACCCCCAGCCCATCTGTACGCGAACACGCGCCGGCACACTGGGACCGAGCTACCCGCGGAAAAACACGTACATGCAAACACGTACACAGCCTGTGCGGCGGGTCCTGTCTGCGCTCGCTCCGGGAGGCGGACCGGGGATTTTGTGAAATGCATTCAGCAGACCTTTTAGATCTGATCTTCCATCTGGATTCCGGGTCCCCGTATGCCACCTGAATGAGTGTGTAAGTGTGGAGGGGAGACTGGTGCTCTGGACAAAATGAGAGCGGCGCGGGACTAGGTTCTGGGCCTGTCACCGCCAAGCCGCTGCCCTCACCTCGGAGGCCAGCCCTGAGCGGAGCTGAGGGTCAGGGGTGGGCGAGCTGGGAGGGGGAGGTGCGCCAGCCTCGTATCTTCTCCAGGCTTCTCACTTATCTCTCGGTGCCTCGATTCTTTCTCCATCCCCGCCAGAAGTCGCGGGGGCGGGGGTGGGGAGGGGGGTGTAAAACCGCGAAACGCCCCCGCTCCAGAGGCAAAGAGACAGGTTCCAGTTCAGGTACAGTGTGGGCGTGAAGGCGAGGAAGGCAGCCCGATCTCATGGATCAGCCCTGCCGCCGAATTGATAACAGTTATCGCAGGTCCCTACCCCCTGTCGGAGAGCTCCCTAAACCTCATTTATCGCTTGCGGGGGAGGGCGGAGGGGGGGGGGTGTCATGAATTTGAGCCATCCCTGCTTAGATGGAAGGGTATCTTGGGAACGCTGTTCCTTTACCCCTCCTGAGTTGAGAGCTTCCTCGGGTGAAAAGGGAACGCAGGAAGGGCTGACTTCGGGGCCTAGGGGGTTAAGAAATGCACTCGCCTCTGGGTGGACCACACAGCCCTCTCTTCCTTTTTGCCTTGTGTACCCCCTAACCCCCCAGCTACAGACTCCGAAATGGAGGGTGAAAATGCGGTTCCTTTGTGGGCCAACCGCGCCGAGATAGGGGCGGAACTTTCGAGGCGACGAGCTTCTCCAGCCTCGCATTTTTGACGCACATGGTTAAGAGCGCTTGGCGCCAGCGCTGAGAATTCCCTGAAGTCACAGAGAGAATGGAGTGCTTCTGCGAACTCGGTCTGACTCTCCATCTCGCCCTCTTTCTTTTCCTTTCGGCCTGTCTTTCTCTGGCGACCCCTCGGGCTCTGTCTGCCGGTGTTTAAGTAGAGAGAATGAGCTAGAGAAAAGAAAGAAGCGGCCGGGCCCGGGGTGTCGGCTCGCAAAGCCTCCTCCCGCGTCCCTTGCGCACAGGCCTTCCTTCCCCTAGCACTGACCACTGAGGTCACTGCTGGGTTTCACAAGTCTCTGGAGGTAAAAACGCACCCCCTCCACCATATCGCCCGCCGCCAGAGCCTGGGGCAGCTTCTCTGAGATTTCAGGAGCCGGTCCCAAGTCCCCGCGATGGGTTTTGCCTACACGCGGGGGCCGATCTCTGCCCTGCCACTCGGCGTAGAAGGAAAGCGGTTCTGCGACCACGATGTGGCTGACCCCCTCCTCACCCACTCGGTGCCTCGAGCGTCCAGACGCACAGGAGAGAGATATTTCGCTGGGTCCGCGGCCCGCATTCTGGCCTCGCTTCTGTTTGGGACGTGGGGTGGGGGGAGGGGGAGCTTGCTGATTTCACTTGTAACTATCTCGGCTTGCCTTTGGCCCCACCGTGGACTGAGCGTCATTGCTGCCCCTCCCTCAATGGCCTGTTTTTGCCCATAACTCGAACTTAACCCAGGGGTCACCCCGGTTGCCACTCCTGACCCCCATTCCCACTGTAGCACGCAAGGAAGGGAGGGAAGAGAGGAAAGTTTGCGGGATTCTGAATCGAAAATGTCGGCATCTTGCTAATGGTCTGCAAACTTCCGCCAATTATGACTGACCTCCCAGACTCGGCCCCAGGAGGCTCGTATTATGCTGGGAGGCCTCGGTGACTTGGGATCAAAAGCGAGAAGGTGTGAACTCCGCTTTGTCTCTGCGGGACCGCCGCGCCCCCCTCCCGGTGGGTGATAAACCCACTCTGGCGCCGGCCTTGCGCTGGGTGATTAATTTGCAAACAAACAAAAGCGGCCTGGTGGCCACCGCATTCGGGTTAAACATTGGCTAGCGTGTTCCAAGGACTTGTGCCAGGCCTGGCCGCCGGAGGACCCACAGGGGTGGCGTCCCGCCTCCCACCTCACCCCTCAGCCTGGGTTTTAGGCTCCAGCTGCGGGCCCTACGCGGTCCTTTTTTTTTTTTTTCTCCCCCTCTTTGCAGAATCCCTCGATTTTCTAGCTCTCTCTCCCCGCCTCATTGCTCAACAAAAGACCTAAGGGAAACATTGAATGAGCCTGCCCCTCCGCAGAGTCCGAGAAGTGGTGCTTTAAGGACAGGAGAAGGGGGCCACATTTGGATCCAAGTGGACCCACGGAACTTCCGGTGTCCCCCAAATATTCTTCCGCCTTTTGCAAAAAGAGTGGTCGCTTATCCGTAGGCCGGATTTTTAACAGTCATGACCTTTCCATATCTGTTAATGCCTGCAGTGTTTAATGCGAAGGAGGAGTATGAGTGTAAAGTGAGAAAGAGGCAGAGAAGTCTCAGGATAAATGTCCTACGTACACACAGGAAACCAAATCAACTACCCTCAGCTCTGGCCACGGATGTGGTGGAGAAGCTAGTCTTGCTCGCGAAGCGCTCAGGAATTATCTGCCAGATCCCACTTTCCTCTACCGGCGCTGCCTGCTTCAAACTATATAGAGGACAAACCGACCCTTTTGTGACCGAGGGTGTTTATCTTAAGTTTACAAAAAGGGAGAGGGGGGGAAGGATGGTGGGTAGGCGGGGTCGTTTACTTTGGCAAGTTTGCTGTAAATATTCCCTCTAGCATGTGTGAGGTCTGGTGAGGGACTATTACACGCTTATTCCCTCTTAAACTTTCACCCCTGTTTGCCACGGAGCTTTTTTCAGTCCGAGGTGTCACTAAATTGGGAACTCTGTTGACAGAAGGACATCCTTGTTTCTCTAGGGGTCTGAGGCCTAATTAAGAAGTTTCCTAGGAGGGGTCTGTCGATACCTAAACTTTTACCCGGGAGGAGCTTTCCTGGTACCCCTCCCTCCCCCCAGCACCCCTCTCTTCTCGCAGTGTAGAAATGGCCACTGTTTCTGCCCAATACCTCCCAGCCTAGGATTCCGGTTCTTTTGATAGTGACAAGCTGTGAAACTGACTAGGTGTCCGCTCAATGTTCCCCATCCGGAGACGTGATTTTCTTATCAAGGATCCCAGGGAAGCAGCTCCCTTGGGAGTACCTAGCTTGCTGGCCGAGGTTCCTACAGCAAACCGCAGCTAGCACCCTCTCCCCACAAGGGCACTCCTGTGCTTCCCCAAACCCTGACTCTCACGTGCAGTTCTGAATCCAAATGGAGGATTTCTGTGCAAAATTGGAAGGCTCGATTTACCTCTCGGAGTTTAGCATTCACTGCCCCCCTCTCCCTTCTTTAAGAGCTTAGTTCCTCCCAGATCAGAAGACTGCAGGGTCAGTTTCTTTGAGGGAGGGTCAATTTTTCCATTTTTTCTTGCATCCA